ACACACACACACACACACACACATACAAGTTCATTTACCTTGAGGCCTGAGGTGTGTTATTTCACATTGTTGCCATAGAAACAGGAAGTCCTGATTGTCCTGGACGACCCGCTGCCCTCAGAGCGTCTCCCTGATGAAGGAGTCAGTCAAACCTCCGTTGTCCCGCTCATCAACGCATCACAGTGTCTCCTGGACTTGGACACACAACCAGAGCCTGTCCCCGATCAGGACGGCCAATCGAAACCTTCCCTGGAGGACGTCGGCCTGTCGGAGTCACAGGTGACTCAACAGCTTTTCTCTGTGGTGTTGATTTATTATTTGATGTGTTTAAGTTTGATGAATATATGTTTATATATTTATTATTGACTAAGACCTGGTTTAAAACACTAAATTCATCACAAGATAAAAAAACTTTTCTGAACGATGTTTTTCAGTCCATCCTCCCTGTGCAGCCTCCTGAGCAGAAAGAACAGCCGGACCCTCCTCCCGTCAGGTCCGACGCACAAACACACAAACATCATGAACGACACAACGGACCCTGAATGCTCGCCCGTTCTCAGTTGACCACGTTCTAATCTGTCTTGCGTTTCACAGCGGCCCTCGCTGCGTTGCCCTGTTCGACTACGAGGGAGAGGAGGGCGACGAGCTCACCTTCTCCCAGGGTGATGTCATCACCCTGCTTGAGCTCATAGGGCAGGAGTGGGGGCGTGGCCAGATCCACGGGCGAATAGGAATATTCCCCCTGAACTTCAGCGAGGTGGTGGAGCCGCTCCCACAAAAAACGCCATCGCTGGAGGAGACGACTAAAGCGGCAGCGATGGATACGACAGTGACGGAAAATAACGGTGGGCTGAGGAAAATTATTAAAGGTGAAGATTTAATAATAAATGTTGCTTTATTTTGTACATTTGTCTTCCACAGAACCAAAGACGTCACAGGACTCAACCTCTGAGGTGAGTGTGTTTGACAGGGTGTGTTTTTATTGTGTTGCAGTATTTCCTCATACGTCAGATGATCTGATTTGTGTTTAAATGTTTGTGTGTGTGTGTTGTGTGTGTTTGTGTGTGTAGGTGGAGGAGTGGGCTGTGGCTCTGTTTGACTTCCCCGGTCAGACTGAAGAGGATCTGTCCTTCCACAAGGGGGCACTGATCCAAGTGACTAAGCACATAGACACTGAGTGGAGGAGAGGAAGACTGGAGGGGAGGGAGGGGCTTTACCCTGCTGCGTTCACACAGCTGCACCAGGGTACAACACACACACACACACACACACACACACACACAC